ACCTTCTCCCCAGTTCCTATTAAAAAAATGCCTGCATTATTTTTTTTACAATGATTTAGAGTAATTTAAATCTGCCACTCTGCATATTGCATCAGCTTAATTCTCTAAATGATTTTTCATAGAAATATTATTTTATATGTAGATGTTCATATACACCTATGTAATCAACAAATTGTTTCTATGCTAATATGCATGGGAACTTTATTTGGAGTTCATTCATGTTACCATAGAATATACATAGTGTTTAAAAAATTCCATTAGAGTTTTTCAGCATATTTAAATGTCCTCAAAGAGGGTAAACATTGATATCAAATGAAAAGGAATGAAAAACTGGATTCAAAACTGTTCTGTTGTGTGTCCTGACTTCAAAATTTCAAAGTATTTTTTGATGTGTTTAAATTCAATAGTATGGTCAAAATGTATGTATACTAAGTAGTATTCTCTTAATAATAACCTGACTTTCATATATTATAGAGAAACATTATCAAAATTTAGTACACTCATACTGTAGGTAAAATTTTTGATGATGTTTAGAGTTCCTAGAAGGCATACTCATGATTGAAATTTTAAATGTAAAAGTAAACTTGGAGTTTGGGGAACAGTAAACCTCATTGGTAATACATTTATTGATAGAGAAATAAATTATAGTGCCCTATAATGGTAACTCAAATTGAGGCAATACGGCAGTAGGTCTGTGGTAGGTAAAATGACAAATTGTTGCGTATTTACTTCAAGTACGCCATCTTCTCTCCATTCCACTTGCGGATAACTGTGCCCAGTTTTGCTCCAAACTTGAATTCTGTCACACGGCCATTTCCAAAGTACTCACTGCTTTTAATTGCCTCACCTCCCAGATCAATAACCTGGTAGAGATACAACGACAACCGTTTGAATAAAACAACCTTAAATCATCATAATGTAAAAATAATATAGTATATGAAGTTTTCAGACATTTATACTATTGGAATTTTAAATTTCTATATTGAAAGAAACCAAAGGTCACTTCTTGTCCTGTAACGTGATTGACACTAGTCTTGCACATAAGTGAGGATTCAATAGCTCACATTAAATTAGAACTCAGATCAACATTTTCAGCGTTTTAAACTCGTTTCTAGAAGGAAACAAGGATAACTATTATCTTTCACTCACTGCAAAGACAATATTTCCTGAAAAGAAAGCTTCATGTCTTGACCTAAATACTTACAGAAGTAGTAACAAAATTCAGAATTCAAACTTAGATAAACTGACTTGAGAAAGCAACATCTATGGCTTCCACCATCAATGAAATTTACAAGCTGAACTAATTCTCTTCACTACCTTGGAACCCCTGTGTTAAAGAATTAAGCATGTCATCTCTGAATAGTAAAGAGTTAAAGAGTGGTGAAGTAGGAAAGTGATCACACATTAAGTGAATTCTGTCATCTATTTACAAGGTACAAGCCTGGCATAATTCTAAAACCCCTGTGGTAAAGAGTTAAGCATGTCCTCTCTGAATAGTAAAAAGTTAAAGAGTGGTGAAGTAGGAAAGTGATCACACATTAAGTGAATTCTGTCATCTATTTACAAGGTACAAGCCTGGCATAATTCTAAACACACACGTTAGTATTGCTTTACCTCTTGAAAAATGAACGGTCTACTTCCTTGAGAGAACCATTTTGTATTTAGATTATGCAGTTTATCCAAAACTGCCTTTATGTCTCCAGGCCACATGTGCTTAGCAGCATCAAGTCTGAACCCTGCCACACCAATGTCAATGAGATTGTTCATATAGTTAGCAATCGTGGTGCGAACATAATCTTTGTCAAGGGCAAGATCAAGAAGGCCAGACAGACGACAATTTCTGACCTGTGGAGGCAAAAAATGCAGTGATTGAATTATGCAATGTCTACTCTCAACTGAGATTGTATTTGAGATATATTCATTCAGCCACTGATCAGCACATAAGTTCATGGTGACTTTATATAGGACTTTGGGGAAATTAAATTAATATTTTACTGTGGATAAACCTTTGATATATTTTCTAATATAAAAATTGAAAGAATTATAAATAGAATAGATGAACATTTTATTTTATTACAGAATTTTGTTTTTCATTCTTTCCTGTCTTTCATTCCTCTTTCTATTTCTTCACTTTCCTTCAACTTTCCTACGGCTTTCTTTCTTTCTCTCTTTTCTTCATTTTATGCAGTAGAGTACCACGCCAATGTCTTTGTAAATGTCAAGCACCTGGCTTGCCACTGAACTCCATCTACATCCCCATGATTAAGGAAAGTATTGGAATATTATTTTGAGTATCTGATCTTTTTTTAAAAAAAATTTATTTTTTTATTTTATGTGTAAAAATGTGTTTTAGAGGGCACCTGATCCCCTGGAACTGGAGTTACAGAGAGTTGTTAGCTGCCGTGTGGGTGCTGGGTGAACCCAGGTCCTCTGCATGACAAAATAGTGTTCTTAACTGCTGAGCCACCCCTCCATGCCCGAGTTTCTAATCTTTAAGCATTCTCTCCTGGAAAGCTCTTCTCATAATAAAGGAAAGTATTGGAATATTATTTTGAGTTTCTGATCTTTTTTTAAAAAAAATTTTTATTTTTTTATTTTATGTGTAAAAATGTGTTTTTTAAATATTTTATTTATTTTATAACTATTGTCTGCATGTATGTAAGTGCACCATGTCATGGAATGCCTGTCGTAGACAGAGAGATTATTAGAGCTCCTCGAAGGGAATTACATGGATGATTGCTAGCTGCCATGTGGGTGTTGGGATTCGAACCCAGGTCCTCTGCATGACCAACCAGTGTTCTTAACTGCTGAGCCATCCCTCCATGCCCGAGTTTCTAATCTTTAAGCATTCTCTCCTGGAAAGCTATTCTCATAATAAATCGAAACTATGCCAATACGGTATTCCATAATTGCCACCTGCGTACTTAGACGTATAGACTGTTTCTCATTCTGACCATTACGTTCTTATTACCTGATTAGCGTCATTATAGTTATTAATTTCTCCATTGCATTTGCCATCGTTAAAATCCCAGCCAGAGTACGGAACTGCTGGAAAGTCCCTGTTGTTAGGGTTGTAGTAACTTCCACAAGTGCTGCTTGTTCCCGCGGGGTTGCCTGAGCCGCACATGTGATTGATGACGGCATCCACATAAATGCGGACCTGAGAAGATAAGTGTGCACCTCAGTTAGAAATCTAACTCTGCATTGGATGACCGCTACAATATGCTAAGGAAACCCCAGAGTGTTCTGTTTTGTATTGTTTAATTGTTTCTTCGTGATGTTTTGTACTTTATCAAACACAAGAACAAAATTCTAGTGTAAAAGGAAATTTTGTAAAATGAATACCAATAACAGTTTTAATGTTTACTCAAGTGGAGTAAACAGAAACTTCTTTCACTACAAACTAAAGTAAAGATGAATTTCTGAAGAAGTAGGCATCAGTAGAAAAATTGAAAACTATTTATATGAAATTTCACCGGGTCACAGTGAGAAAGCAGTAAGACAATACTCTCTGCTTAGTATTTTCCGAGAAGGTGGATGTATGCCATCACTATACAGAAAAATAACGTTTTTAGACTGAGAATAATGTTGTAGACAAAACCCTGGAGTTGTGGGAGTACAATAAAGTCACATAAGTCATAACTTGTTGTTATACCTGGTACAGTTGCTCACTAGTCAGTGTTACTAGGAAGTATATGTCCTTATAAGGGCTAAGGGCCTGTTCTACTTTGTTTCTCCATTGCTGTGAGAAAACACACTGGCAAATAACAAGTTGGGGAGGAAAGATTTTATTCGGCTTACATCTCCCAGGTCACAGATCATCAGGGAGCCCAAGGTAGGAACTCTGGGCAAGAACCTAGAGACAAGAGCTGGAGGACAAGCCATGGAGGAACACTGCTTACAGGCTTGTTCCCAGGACCCTGATCAGCCTGCTTTCTTATTCAATGCAGGCCCATTTGCCCAGGGGTGGCACCACCCACAGTGCGCTGGCCCCTCCCACATCACACATCAATCAAGAAGCTGCCCCACAGACATGGCCACAGGCCAGTCCTATGGAGGGAGTTCTCCAATTGAGGCTCCCTCAACCTAGGTGTGTCAAGTTGACACTATATCCAGCACAGAGCCAAAGTTTTGATTTATAAATAGCCCTCTTTAAACAGTTAAGAGGACATTTGGAAAAAAATTTAAAGGGTGATCATAAGACTTCAGTAGGCATTTGGAAATACAAATCAAACAAAAATTTAAAACACTAAATTATAAAATTAATCACAATAAAGAAAACTGAGAGAAATATTCATTTGGAAGCAAACATGAATGTACTTACACCAACATTGTTGCACCTCGTCACCATGTCTCTGAATTCATTTTCATTTCCAGACCTTGTGCAGATTTTGTAGCTAATTGGTTGGTATCTTTCCCACCAGGGCCTTGAAGGGTTGTTAATCACAGCATTTTCATTAGGTGGAGAGACCTATTAATAAAAATGCTTATAATAATTATCATAATATTGCTTACTTTACATAAAATGATCCTGCAGAGACTAATCAAGGATCCAATGCTACTTCTTAGGTAGGTCTCAGCTGTGTTTTCCTATAACCGGGGACACTGACAGCACATGGGGAAGTCCTCTAATGTCCCAAAACAAAATATAATGGTGCCTGCTAGAAAAATTTTCCTCCAGAAAATGTAAGTTGGAATTAAAATTATGCTCCTGATTCACTAATATCGACTAGCATGCGGTTTTATATAAGCTCAGTAAACTCTGCTGCTTAAATCGTGAACAACATTTACCTGGACCCCTCCAAATCCTTTGGGACCTAAGTATCGCTCACATTCCTTGGCAATATCAACCCAGCGCCACTCAAACAGGTGGACGATGGACGTCCTGCCGTACTGAGTGTGGGGGTCATATTGCGCCCAGCAGAACCCGACGAGTGAGAGCAGCAGAAGGAACTTCATCTTGCTTGAAGTTGTCAGTGTTCTGTCCAGCAGTTATTTATATTCCTGCAATTAGGACAGTTTACAAAGTAAATGTTAAGAATAAATATTTAGAGTACAAGGTGTTTATTCTTAATCTGAAAGAGATTAGCAATAATGGCATTAACAGGTGAAGAGCATTCAGAAAACTCCCACAGGGGAATAAACTGAATGTCCTTGGTAGACACGCATTGTGTGGTTAATGTTAGATATAATGTCTGATGTCCCTGCACTAATACGAGGAAAATTACAGTTGTACCAAATTGCTATGGATATCTACCTGAAAAAGTTTAAAATTCCCATTCCAAATAGAAGTTGGATGAAAAATTCAGTTCTGTTTGCTGCCCATACTCAAAATAATTTTAATTATTGAATGTGGGCTTAATTTTTCAGAAACTGCCTTGCATGGAGGCACACAGCTGCAATGCCAGAGCTAGAGAGGATAAGACGTGAGGTCTGTGAGTTCAAGGCAAGCCTGGGCTCCATACCAAGGCCTTGCATAGAGACAAATAAAGAAGTTATAGATGACATGATATTGAAATGTCCAAGATTTTAGAAGTAAACATTTTACCCTCCAGCAATCATGGATTAATCTGTGGCCAGAAGGAGTTGCATTGTGAAAATGATAGTTTTCCCCCTTAGCCAGATTTCTTTTAGAACCAACATAATACTGAATAAACAAAATTTATTATTCTTCCATCTTATATTAATGACATTCTATGAGACAGACTTGTAGTACAGTAGGAATAAACTTCTGCCACTCAACAAGGACTGAGTGAGTTTCTTCATGTGGTCAAGCCCTGATGTTGGTAGGGCTAGAATGATGAACAAGGCAGACGGGTTCCATACTAGAAGTTCCTGTTAGGGGAAAGAGCAGAACATTTGCAAATAAACCTAAGTGTGGTCATCATGGCTATTAAATAGCTTCAGGTAAAATGTAATTAGAGAACCATCTTTTAACCCTGAAGGACAGGTGGTATTAAAACCCAAAGCCCAAAGTTGCTCGTGTTGGCCTCCATTGGAACGAATGTTTAAAACAGCCCTCCCCAGGTCTGGAGAGTTTTTGTTTTGCTTTTGTTCAGTGGCATTTAGCGCATAGTCTTATGTGTATCGCCTTAAACAGTAAGTGGCATTTAGCGTGTAGCCTTATACCCAGCACCTTAAACAGTTGGTCTTTGTGCCTTTGGGCTTGTTTCAAAAAGCTTCTAGAAATTTAATTTTTAAAAAGATTCATTACGAAGTTGTGCTATTATGATTCACATTTACACTAAAATGTATCTCAGATGAACACTTTCTGTGATTTGAATAGCTTCCAGTTCTTCAAATATTTATGAAATATACATTTTTTGCCAGTCATTCTGCTAGAAACTAGAGACCCAAAGAGGAGCAAGCAGGGAGGCCTCCCCTCCATCCATGTGAATGAAGCTGTCCTCCTGGGGTGGTTAAATAACCAGGCATTTGCAAGCTTTGGTGGCCCCAGTGAGGAGACAGCCAGTTCTGTGTAGATGATGCTACCAAGGCAGTCTGAGGAAGGGCTGATGGCGCTGAATATTGGGAGGGAGTTTTCCTAGGTGAATGTGTTGAAAGGGGGGAATTCAAAGCAGAAGCAGGCAGAGCCTGGAAAGGCATGCTGAGAGGGAGGGAGAATGCAGGCGGGACCATGTGGCCCCGGAAGAGCAGCAGGACAAGCCAGTGTTGAATGAGGCTGCGGTGTGAGACTCTTTGCTAAGCCACAGAAGGTGATGGATTTTATAAGAGCAGAACTCATCAGTTTTAGCAGGAGCATGACACGATCAGTCTGTGTGAGAATGGCTTGGAGCAGATACAGAGCCAGCATTAGGGAAGACTCCAGGATCCTGCTGCCCAGTGGACAGTAACTGTGTCACCTTGTTGCTAAGAGGACAGGAATGATTGGGCTGAATGGATACTAAAGTTTTATTGGAAATTGCATATCAGAGTAAATCTGTGAGAATAATTTAAATGTCATATATAATACATATATATATATATGTATATATGTATGTATATATATAAACATATATATACATATATATGCCAATAGACTATAATTGGTGTCATGACTTGTTCTTCATTGTGAGCCCATGCCCTAGAACCTAGTAAACATACCAAGTATTCCATCCTTGAGAGAGATTTGCTCTCCCTGTGCCAGTGTGCATCATGGTCTATAGTTCCTTTAGGCAGGTTTGGGTTTCATACCAACTTCCCCATGTCTATCCTATGATTTTTTGAGCTGTCTGTTTTGAGCTTCCATGAGAATTATGCATGCCGTTACCATTTCTTTGAGTTCATATGAGTAACTGAAAAGCTCTATGGAAAACTCTTATTTCCTGTGATCATCTAGCATCTCTGGCTCTAAGAATTTTTCAGTTCCCTCTTCCATAACGATTCCTCTCCCTCTAGAGTCAGATTTTAAAGTATCCTATTTAGGAATAAAGACTGTGCAGACTGGCTTTCTGCTCATTGGCCCGTTGTGGGTTTCTGTGTTAATCAGCATCTGCTGCATAAGGATACTTCTTTGCTGAGAGCTCAGAAATGCATTCACATATGGTTATAACAATAAGTCAATAAGTGTCATAATAAAATAAGAAGTTCAAAAAGGTTAGGGATTGGTTGGGCTTGGCAAAGGAGGGGCTACAGAGAAGGCTAACTAACACTAAAGCCTTTAGAAAAAGTCGTATAAAAACCTTCCAGTATAAAAGCTTCTTTAAGTATATTCATATATGTATAGAAAGAGATTAAAACTAAATACTTATCATGGGGATATTGCTCCTACTAGGTACCATAGGCTAACAAAATGAATCCCCACTGCCAGCAATGCACACCTTCTCTTGAACTGTTGACTAGGAGCTCCAAAAACCCTCAATCACAATTGGCCATTTCACTTGCTCTTGTTTACCCATGAGAAAGGAAAGGTAAGATCATATTCCTGAAGACACAGTATACATGGCCTTAATAGCAAACAACGAGATTCTTCTCGTTCTTATATTACTGTAATTTGTAGATTTCCTCATTTCATGTTGCCCCACATTTCCTACATAGTCCATTCCTGTTTTTTTGTTTTTTTGTTTTTTTTTAATTTTGCATAGCTTTTCCTTAAGGATCCCAGATCATCAACTTTATCTGCCAGTCTTGATATTCTGCTTCCATTTCATTCATTATACTTCTGAGGCTTTATCCTGTTATTTCTTTTTAAATTTTATTTATTATTTTTATTTTATGTGTATGCTTGTACGGCCTGCATGTAGGTGAGTGAACCCATGTCGTGCAATGCCCATGGAGGACAGAAGAGGCTGTTGGGCCCTGGGAGTGTAGTTATGGACACTTGTTAGCTGCTATGGGGTACTGGACCCAGGTCTTCTGTGAGAACCACCAATTTTCTTAACCACTGATCCATCTCTTCAGCCCCTATTTCTTTTTTTAAAACAAATAATTTGCTGAGAATTTCATACATGTATATAAAGTGTTTCAATCAAATCCATGCCCACTCCCTCCCCTCCAACTCCCCCCATATCTCCCTACTATTTTTTTCTGTTGACTTCATGTACTCTTTCTTCTTCTTTGGTTATTTATATTTTTTATGGGGCTTTTGGCTACTCTAACTTTCCCCATACTGAAGAAGTCACCTTAAAATCTTTTAAGGATTATATAAAATCTCCCAAACATTTTCAGCATTTTTGACCTTTGGAAAGGAATAGGCTGCTAAGAGGCACAATGATATTGTGAGTTTTAGCCAAGAAAGTGGCAACTTTTCTTTGTGGTATTTTTACACTAACCACGTAGTGAATTCCTACCTCCTCTTCTTATCACACCATGCTCTGAAGACATTACACAAACTGACAATAGGGAATTGGGACTCAGACTGCTCTGGTGTCTCATATGCTAAACAGCGACACAGGGGGAGGCCATTGGAGGACCCCTTCAGAGGGTCTTTCAAAAAGACTCCCAAATGGCATCTGTCTTATTGCAAAGAGGAAAAGAAAGTCTTTGAATTGTGAATAGGAGATTTGAATGAGAAGTAAAGGCAAGAGTAATTAGCATTACAAGTTCTAGACAGGGAACTAGAAAAAAGTCAGAACAGGGCAATTTTCAAATGTGCATTTAAGATTCCATTTAATTTCTTGACAAAGACTTCCAAAAGCATGCCTCTATTGGATTCCTCTTCATTTTTCTTCTTTCTTCCAAGGCTGGACTCTAGAGTGATGGATTCAGGATTTGCTTTCAGGTATTTTGATAGCTGTTGGAGTGGTTGGACTCAGTGTCAGTTCCCTCTCAAAGGCTTCTGGATGGGGGAGAAAACAAATTTATCCATCATTTTAGAATAATAGCTGCTTGTCTCTCTTAGCTACAGGTAGGCACTACAGGATTGAAGACCAAGATTTGAGCTCTTACATTTGAGCAGCACTTTCTGGTAAGTAACAAAATCATCAATGAGAAATAATTGCCTAATGAACTTTGATATAGACCTAAGCATAATGTCTGTGAAGTGTAATCCCTTGAACTCTTAAAGAAATATATTGA